GTTTTCAGTTACTAACTTTGCTCTTCCTGTTGACCACTTTCTTAGAAAGATTAGAAAGGTGAAAAGTCAATTACCATCTCAATGGTCTTTAACTACCACCAACATTCCTTTTGACTTCTCCTTCCTCCCTTTCTCTTTAAGTCCATTTCTCATCTACACTTCCTGAGTCAAACCTACTCCTTTTTAGTTAACCACCTGGAAATAAGAATTCTGTATTTTAAAAAAATCTGTATCTACATGAAGCATTCTTTAGAGGGGCATAGGAGAGTACTTACCATACTATAATGAAAAACTAAAAGAAAAGTGATTTATAATAAAATGTGTTCTGTAAATAGTAGGAGGAAGAGCTCTAGTGTAGTTACCTGGGGCAATCATTGATTATACAACAATTAAAAATTCATTCTGAAGTAGTTGTGTGATAATGTTGACTCAAACTCTGCAAGCATTTTAGTGATACGGTTTTTCTCTTGGTAACATGATTCTCCAAAACATTTACTTTGGTAAAGTTTTAAGGAAAACAGTATAATCTTACTGGGTTTTACCCAGTAGTTACAGGTACACTGCTCAGAAAAACTTTGGAATAGAATATGATCTTAAAACACTTGTCCTGAAAGTACAATATAGAGCTGTTCTCTTTTCTTTCCTTCCTTCCTTTTTTTAGAAATTATATATAGCTAAAAGTTTCCAATTCATAGCTATGATAAGTAGGAAGCTAAGGACTCTCTCTCTTTAAAACCCATAATTCCGTTTCTTTTTCGCTCTCTTTTTGTAGGGCACTGGCTAGTTGCTATGAAGTACTAATGACTCATAGCTGACCCTCCCCTTGTGTTTCTGAGGCTGTAAATCACATGAGAGGACATAGCCCTTCTTTCCCTCAGAGCCATAGTGTGTTTACACTGCCTTTGGGTTAGCAGTGCAGCACTCTATGGAGCAGACCGTCAGAGCTCAGTATTTGTATAGTAGTCATTTTCAGTGAGTGTGCCGTCTCCTCCTAGGAGTATTTTGGAAATGATGGGAAACTGAAAGAGTTATTATGTATTTAATATAAAATGATACTCAAGTTTGGTCTGTTTTTTTAATATTCTTCAAAACATCAAGAAATTATGTAGAACAGTTAACTATACACCATCAGCGTTATATTATCAACAACAACAACAACAAAAAGCCTATGCCCTCTATTTCCAAAAATGCCCTGAGAGGAAGGTAACAAGTTTGTTACAAACTGTTGTTGTATACAGGAGATTTTAAACCCACCACAGCTGAACCTCCAGCAGATTTTCAGAGCCTGGAAGGAGATTGTTTATCTTTCTTTTGGAGAGCAGTTGGTGTATTTGAGCCACGTACCTTTAAGTTGGCAACACAGTTCCTTCTCCACTACTCGTGGAGACTGAAAAGATAATAAGTGATGAGTTTGGAAGAATGAAGGAGCCTTTTATTATTATTATTATTATTATTATTATTATTATTATTATTA